CAACAACAACAACAACAACAACAACAACAACAACAACAACAACAACGACGACGATGAATGACATGGTGGCGTGCGGTAGCCGTGCTGCTGTTGGTTAGTTTACCTTTCACCCACTCCTCAGCTACGTGCTCGCTATCTCCTGCCAGGTAGTAGGTTCGTTTCTTAGTCTTAGACTCCACCTGAAAGGTCGTAGCGTTCGCTGCCTTCGTCATGCTGCACTGACTGTCCAGCGTGATGCGGCCCGCAGGACGTCGGTCATTCTACGGACAACGGCCGACCTCTTTTATAATTTTTATTATGTATTGTGTGTGTGTACGTGCGCGCTCGCGTGTGTGTATGTATGTGTGTGTGTGTGTGTGTGCGCGTGTGTGTGCGTGCGCGCGCGTGTGTGTGTCTGTGTTGGCGTGTATGTGGAAGGGTGCCTTTCGTATTTGAGGGAAGTTTTTATATTGATAAAAGAGTTTTCAGTTTTAACGGAAAGCCTTCATTGTTTAGTGAAAGGCTGTTAGCGTTGCAAGGAATGTCTAAGTGTTAGGGGAGAAATACCTTATTCTAAGGGTGAATTATTCAGTTTTATGGGGAAATGCTTCAGTGTTATAGGAAAACATCCACTGATAAGGGACACCCTTCATTGTTAGTGAAAAGATATTAACGTTTGGAAAGTTGTTTGAAGGAAATTGGAAAAAAGGAATTGTTTGAGTGTTGGGGAGGATAAGTCTAAGAGTGAATTATGCAGTTTTATGGCGAAACACTTCACATCAAAAATAATATTCAAATACTGATAAGGGATTCCCACTGATAAGGGGATTGTTAGGAGGAAGCTGTCCTTGTACGGGAGGGAACCACCACTGTTAAAAAGAGTACTGCAGCATCTGCGAACAGTATTCGTTAGGGCTTCACTAATAGGAAACCACTTCAAGCAAAATCGTCAGAGAAGAACCCAGTATCGGGGGATGTTTTCAGTATTACGAAAAATCGAGTAAAATGTCAGAAAAAACGTTCACTGTCTGAAATAACTACACAGCGAAGATACTACTGGTGGATTCGGGGGGATGCTAGGGCTATGGCCCCTACTGTCCAAGAATCAATACCAGAAAACGAGTGAAAAAAGGTGAAGCACAAAATCTATGAGCATTTCAAACCTCCATTATACTAATTGTTTTCTCCATTTAGCACTCACCAGAGGCTATCAAAAATTGTCAACTGAATTAAGCAGTAACATGCATGGCTGGATCTAGCTCTAGCACTATAGCTCTACTTGCCACAGGCCTGCATATATACATAGTTGCCTGTGGCAACTAGCGCTATATTACTAGAGCTAGGCTGGATCCAACTGCCGGAGTCTACATCCCTCCCCATATAGAACACCCCCTCGCTAGTGGTTGTTCGCACCCCTGGGGCCCGTTGTCAAAAACAAAATTAACATTTAGTCACAACAGTAACCTTTTCTTGTAGACCGGACCTCGGCGCACTTTATACGCGAAACACGTAACTTTACTTAGCCACAAGTTACCTTCTCGCTTCTTACTACGTGGCTTCGTCCTACGACGTGAAACAGTCGTAGAGCCTTGTCGGGCTAACCCCAATCCTAACCCCAACCCTAATCCTACCGCTAAACCAAACCCTGACCCTAAACATAACCCTAACCCCAACCTAGTCACAATTAGTTACCTTCCCGCTTCTCACTACATGTCGAGAAAGTGCGTGGCTTTGTCATGCGACGTGAAACAGTCATAGAGCCTGGTCGGGGCTAAACCTTACCATGTTTTTGTTAACAGTCTATGAATAAACGTTAATACAATGTTTAGACCAAGTTTGTTTCTGACAACGGCCCCTTGTTACCCCATTCATGGATTCGCCAATGATCGTAGAGATTCTCTGGTACATTCCCTTAAGCCTAGCGCAGACTTCGGTCGGTCGATCGCACGCTTCACCGTGTGTGCGCCTGCAAACGACTGCTGTTAACAGCAGTCGCTTCTTTCCATTGTCTTTTTGTCTTTCCATTGTCTTTCCATGACTTATATTACCTGCACACATGCGATTTCGAAACGATTGCGAGCGACGAGTTGCTGAAAATCAAACCTGTTTGATTTCTTGCAACTCGTTGCAAGCGACCAGAATCGCTACGAGTTGCAGTTGCACGTTCCCGCAGACTTGCGACTTTTTCGTGCAACTCGGCTGCGATTCTAGAATCGCTAAAGTCTGAGCTAGGCTTTACTGACCCACTTCATGCACCACTTCTGGTTTTACCTACCTGGGTTTTGTAGTAGAGCAGCTCGCCATTCCGGATGACGAACCAATGCTTCTTCCAAGTCTTCACGCGACCTCCAAGCTTGCTCAGGTAGCCGGACTTTTCCAGTATCACCGTCTGCAGAGCGGGAAACGATGCAAAACCGTCAGTCAGGCGTTCAGTAATAGTGATATTCAACACAAGCACGCGCGTCTGTGCGTGCGTGCGATCGCAAAGCTTGTTCGTGCGCAACCGATAATTGGTGAACGCACACGTCACGCAATTTCGAAATCCAATTTAGTGTTAATGAGTTGTGGGGTGGCAAGGATGGCTGTAGGTATGGCTACAGCGTGACAACGACAATAGGTAGGGGACGGCCGCAAGCGGAGCGGCAATAACATATCGACGGCCGGAACGAGTGGATATATCGTGTCTGCACGCGTACCTGAGTGCAGTTGGTGAAGAGCGCGTGAATGAAAAACAGTGGGAAAAGTGTGGAGGCTAAGAGAAAGCAAAGGGGACATGATGGGGAGAAAGTGGGAGCGAATAGGAAAGATAGCCAAGTAGAGGAGGGACAGAGGGAGAGGGAGATGGAAAGGGAGAGGGAAACGGCGAGGGCGAGGGGGAGGAAGAGGGAGAGGGAGAGAGAGAGAGGTGTGGCGGGAGAACAGAAGACGAAAGAACGAAGACGAGAAACAAGAGCAGATGTGCATACGCGATTATCGAAAAGGTTTTCAATCTTCGCCACGAGGTGGCGCTGCGAGTAACAACTATCAACAGATACGGCGTTGCCGCATACACACACGCACATCAAACAAACGCCGACAAAGGTCACGTGTTTGGCGAGCGGGAAGCCACAGCACAGGAACGGACGGCACAGGACCCCCCGCAGAGCCGCAACCTTTAGGTTGAGTTTAATAGCTATATTACGAATAGAAAAAGCAACGTCTCATGGGGAGCAATAGACTGATGCGTTATACAGAGAGAGAGCGCGCGCGAGAGAGAGAGACCGAGAGAGAGAGAGAGAGAGAGAGAGAGAGAGAGAGAG